AAACTTAAGTATCTATTAATCTCTGGCTTTATTTGCAGTTATATGTTTTAATGCCTGCAGTATTTAGGTATGATTAAAATTAATCAATAGATCAATTAATCAGATTTGTACGCATATTAGTATATATACCTATTAGATCAACCACAATGAAATTCTTATGAAAATTATACAGCATTATACCTTGACTAAAATCTGAACTATGATTTATTGCTGTGTAATGAAATTTTAGCATATATTTGATTTGTAACTTAACCATTAAGTCAAGATCGTTATATTCTAAAATTCAGTGATAGCAAATTATAAGGTCATTTACTATTTTTTTCAAATGACTTTGATTATTTTGACTTGAAATTTATAATAAAAGTGAGGTTATTTAAGGTTATTTGAGATTATTTTAAGATCATTTTAAATATTTTATTTTATTTGAGTTGATTGGTTAACCTAAATTTTATTAAGTCAGATCATAAGTTTGACCTGACTTGATAATAATCTGAAATTTGTCTACCTGATCTGGATTTTTTAGATTATATTAGTCAGATTACAGGTTGATTTAATCTAATTCAAAGCTATAATAATAATTATTATTATTACTATTATTATTCTTAAAATGTATTATAAATGTTAGATAAGTTTATATGTTAAGTTTTAATATCTTTTCAATTAATTTTTAATCTTTAATAAATTTTTAAATTAATATTTTAAATCTTTTTTTTTAGATTTAATTTAGATTATTGTGATTTTTTAGTCTCTTTTAATTTGATTTTTTAATTTTTAATAGTTTTTTGATTTTATATTTCTTTTAATAATTAATCAAACTTTATTTTTACTTATAAGATTTTATATGAATATCATATATAAAAAATTGATTACACAATTTATTAAAATTTATTTTTATATATTTTATAATACTTTATTTTATATTTATATTATTGATCTTTATAATTAAATATGAATTATATTAATAATTAAGATTGAAATTTGTAGATTATAATATAATAATATAAGTAGTATACTATTAAAATTGAAGTACAGATCATATGATTTACTATGTCTTGTATTTCAATTTGAATAGTATACCATCCATATATGTGAATCCTATATTTTTATATTTACTATAAATATGTTTAAAAGAAAAAAAAAGTTTAAAATATCATATTATTAAGTTTACTAAATTCCTATTAGTTAATAAAAAAAAATGGAAAGTAGTTAAAATTACAGATTTAGTAAAAGTAATTTAAATAAAAAGTTTATCTTATATAATTCTTACTATATATTTTTTGTAAAGAATCTGTTAAAAATAATTTTTGAACAATTTAAAATTATAATTGAAGAAAATATAATATAATGATTGATTTACTATCAAATTGGTAATCTAATTCTATTAAAAGTTTAAAGAAAAAATTATAATATATAGGTTTGATAAAATATGAAAATTACTTTAAGAAATGTAATTAAACCTGAGATATTCTTTTAATCAGCTTTATTCAGCAGTTTATCCACTTGAATATAATTATTTAGATTAAAAATTTAAATATAATAAAATTTTTAACATGATTATTATAGTAACAGTAATATGGGATGAGTGCTGGGAAAATGAACTAAATTGATTTTTTTTTAAAAAAAAGTTCCTAAGTAAAATAGATGTAGATTTGGTTATCTGATTCAATCATTTGTTATTTCAAAAAAAATTATTTGTTGATTTGGTCTTTTTTTCCAGCACTCATCCTATATATTATAAAATATATATAAAATATATAGAGAATACCTTCAAAAAATATTTAAAATGTTTTTGTATTTGTTAATATTAAAAGTCAAAAGTATATATAATTACTATTTTCTAATTTCTACACAAATTATTATTATTTATACAATTTAAGTAAGTATAACTTTGATTATTACCATATTAAAATACTTGGAATTGAATAAATATTGATAATTATCATAATATTTATATTTAAAAATACCTAATTCTATTACTATTACAAAGATATTTTAAGTAGTTTATATGGTAATAATATAGCAAACTAAGTTTTATATTATAATATCATATAAATTATTAATAATAAATTTGATTGAAAGATATCTTAATAAGTAATTTATTATAAATCTTGTTATAATTATAATTATATGTTTGATAATTATAATATAAATATTCTGATAATAATAAAGATAGATTTGCAATTATTAGATTTAATTAAAATAAAATTTGCAACTAGTTACAATATAAGAAAATAAAATTTAGATTACAAATTTACAATATTATTTTTAGATAACAAGTTTATAAATAAGTTATCAATATAAAATTATAATTAAAAATATCAATTACCTTTAACTATTTTTAAATAATTTTAAGTTTTGAAATATTTGAGATTAAATTATTTATTTATAATAATATTTTTATCTAAACTTTTAATAGATTTTTTATAAAATTAAATAAGGTTTATAATAATAATTTAATTATTCTTTAGAATGATTTATATTGTTTCTTAGAATGATTTAATTAATTATTATTTTTATTTTTTTAGAATAATTATATTTTATTTTTTTATATATAATAAATCATATGGTATGAAAGTTTCAATTTTGATTACTTCATCTTTTATTATTAAATTATTTAAATTTAATTTTAAATATATAATAAAATCAAAAAAAAATTTTTTTTTTTAGTAAAATTATATTAATTAATAATATTTTGTATTTATTTAGAATTAAAGCTATTTATAAAAATATTTTTATGTACTATTAAAGTAATTAACCTATTACTTCAAATATAATAGATATACTTTATATTTTCACATTTTGTTAATAATTTTGCTATATTGATCATTTTTATTTTTATGATATAAAATATGCTAACAATATATTTTTAAAGTAAATTATATCTAATTGGAAACTTTTACATAATTATATATAATATTTTTTACATTTAGCTTAAAATTAATTAAGTTTAAGTAGTTTGACTGAAGTATTTACATAATTATACATGTATATATTGAAATTTTACATTATATTTTATATATTTTATAGTTAAAAAGTAATTAATAAAAAAAGCTTTTGCAAAATTTTTAATGTAATTTATAAAAAATTGAATATATTTATTTCATAATAACTTTATAATTTCCCTAAAGTATTTATGATTATTTTACTATATTTCTTAAATAGTTAAAGAATATATTTCAAAATTTCAATTTTACCCAAAAATCTGTGGATAAATTAAAATAGTTCGATTAATATCAATTAAATTATTGAAATTTTTTGGCTCAAAGATAACTTTTTTATTTCAAATCCAAATATTATAATAATTTTATCAAACTATTAAATATAATAGTTAATATGACTAATCTGAATATACCGAAGAATTAATATATATAGGCAAAATGATAGATAGAGAATTTGATCGACAAAAAATTCAAATTTATTTATACAGGTAATCTAAAGGTTTAAAGTATCAAAATTATATATGGGGAAACTGCTGGAAAAATCAAAAATGAGTTAATGTTAAATTTGGACATATTTCAGCCTAAAAATCATATTTGGTAAAATTAATTTTTCCCGGCAGTTTCTATTGCAAACGTCTGATATTTAAATATTATTATAATTATTAAGAAATTAAGTTTTATATAAATAAATTTATAATTTTTTTTATAATTTTTTATATATACAGAACAGATAAAAGAAAATCCCCAAAACGGGTACATAAGTAGAAAACTAAAGTAAATACTGTCAAGCCATATAAAAAATTTTATAATGTATTCTAAAAAAAATATTTGTTATATTCGTTATAAATTAATTGAAGATTATGACTGCAAAATCCATAACAGTTTTTTTAGTTTTTTGATCAAAAATTCCTTAATATTGCAAGGAGAAAAAGGTCTGATATTCTGATAGGAAATCCCGAAAATCAAAATCCCGAAACTTATTCACTTGTCATATATCTCAGGTGACGATTAATTTTTGGGATTTTTGATTTTCGGGATCCGAATATTATACATTGATGTTCAGTATAAAAAAAAGCTTCGCCAAGAACTTGAATCTACTGCCTATATTTAAATGCGAAAATCATTGCGCAGTGTTGTCGTTCGTAGGAAATGTGGTTCATTTATCCAGAAGAATTTTCTTACTCGAAGCTTGGAAATACTAAGTCATGTTACAACAAGATTTCCAAGGGACACTGAATTTTCCGAATTATAGAATTCTACGTGATGAATACCATGCCTATCTTTCAGCGATAATGGGAGACTATGGAAATCAATCGCATATATATTATGTCACGAAAAAATGAAAAAGGTAAAACATTTAGAAAATTTCTGGTCAGCCTTTAAATTCGCATTTTTTGGATATAAGATCGATGGGATATCCCAAATGATCATTTCGTACATTAACGCATTTGGGTTACAGCCGTACTACGTGTTTGCTTAATTATAATTAAAAAGTACTGGTTTTTTTTGAAATTGTACCGATCTTTGTAGTGTGCATATATTATGTAAGTAATATTACATTTTAAGGGAATTTTCAATAAATGCAGATCACGGAAATATTGTAAAGGTTCCTACCAATTAAAAAATCACCAAAAGAATAAAAATCTTTTTTTGTTCAAACCATAATTTGTTGAACAATCCATCCGCATTCCAAATTGTGGTTAATAAAATTTCGTTAAAACAATAATTGGGACGGTTTGAGGGTTCGGAGTTATTATAATATTTCAGGTTAATTCCGACAAAAGATTGAGTAGATATTTCCCTAACAAACGTATATATTTTCCTGCCTTTGCTGTTTATGTCTTCTGGGCGTATAAATAACCTGAAGTTTCACAATTATGGATTCCCATGCATAAACTTTGAATTTCACATATAAATTGTTGCAATACATATCATATCGTATGTAAGATAGACAGAAACTTCCACTCAAAAAAAATTTAAAAAAAAAATTTTTAATTTCATTTATTTATGAAAAATTAAAAAATTTCTAATACATAGAATTCATTAAGACTTTTTGACAAAATGGCGGAAACGGAAACGAAAAGAGCGAATAGTCCTGAGGATACTCTCCAAAAGTTAAAAAATTTAGAAAATCCTAAGGGAACCTTTAAAGAAAATAAAAACAAATTGACAGATGCACAAAAAGCCATGATAAGGGTGGAAGAACCTGAGGAATATCGTCCATATGAATATCATCGACCAAATATTCTAAGGTTTAAAGGTTCGGTTTTACCACATGTCATTATACCTACTATAGTTGTGACCATATTCGCCGCCATTATCACAGCGCTCTTTGAAGTATTCAAGGTTAAATTAAACTTACCCAATACCTTTACTCCTATACTTGGTATTGTGGTTGGTCTTTTGCTCACTTACAGAACAAATACAGCTTATGACAGGTAAAATTATTTCTTTGTTTCGGCGCAGTATCTTCGTTATTTTTAACACGAATTTATATTTTCTTAGATTTTGGGAAGGACGAAAAATTTGGTCCGCGATGGTGACACATATTCGTCATTTGACCCGATATATTTGGGTAGGAATAAGAGAAGATGAATTATTAAAAAATACGAAAGCAGGTGAACAACCTCAAAAAGTCGGTCCATCAACGACAGATATAATTTTGGAAAAGGCGACCGCAATAAATTTATTACTTGGATTTGCAGTGGCGGTTAAACATTTTCTTAGAGAGGAATCTGGATGCGAACATTTAGATCTAGAATATTTAATTTCAAATATTAGAGAAACTTTACCATCATTTAAACCTTTAGCGATTCAAGGTGGTAATACAAGCCATGCACGTAAAGTTGGATGGTTTACCAAGATCTTTCAAAAGCATCATAAAAATCATTTTAATCCTAATTCTTTAGAAACTAACCTTCCTTTGGAAATCACTCTTTACCTTTCTTCATATATTCAAACTCAATTTCAAAATGGGAGAATTGATGTTCCTATCAACAATCAGATATACGCTTCCCTTAATGGTTTATGTGATTGTTTATCACACTTTGAAAGAATTCTTAGAAGTCCTATTCCCTTGGCTTATTCCATCCATCTTTCTCAAACTGTTTGGATATATTGTCTTAGTTTACCTTTTCAGTTAGTTGATACTGTTCATTGGTCCACTATTATCGTTGTATTCTTCTCCGCTTATATTTTGTTCGGATTAGAACGTATTGGTGCAGAAATTGAAAATCCTTTCGGATATGACGAGAATGACTTGAAATTAGATGATTTTTGCGGGTAAGTTTATGTTTTATTTTTATTTTTATTATTTTATTTTTTATTTTTTTATAAAAATAAATTATTTATTCATCTATTTTTTTTATTAAGAATCCTTAAACGAGAATTAAAAGCAATTTTATCTCATGAACCTCCAAGCGTTAATGATTGGATTTACTCCAAAGAAAATCGTCCATTTGAAAAAGACAAGGATCTTAGCGCCCTTGATGCTTCAAAATTACAAGTTGATGATGTAAGGTCTTTACTTTCAATAAAAGAAGAAACATAAGATATATGAGTAATGGCGATGAAATAATTTTATTAAATAGCTTTTATAGAATTTATTAAAAAAAAAAATGTTTAAAAATATTAGTCTTTTCAACAATAAACGTTTCCTAATTAAAATAGCCAGTTTGAATTTCGCATGATTTGTTCTAGATAAAAACATCATGGGACGAAAAGAACCTACAAACTGGATACGTCAAATTTTTTTTTTTTTTTTTTTTTTGAAATTTATGTTGTGGCACCCAAATATTATAATTCTAACGAGATTTAGAACGAAAATTTCTTCAGCCGAAAAATCTTAACTGACCCTTTTAAAATTTGTAAGCGGAAATCATAAAAAGAATTTTTTGTTATATATTTTAAGAAAAGAAATTAGTTTAACAAAGTGAAAAAGGGATCGAACTGTTTTGATGCAAGAACTAGATTAAAAAAAAATGTTTTTTAATCTTTTGAATTTCAAAGTAAAATTCAAAATGTAAATTCCCAAAATTAAATAAAATTACTTTACTTTTTCAACAGGAATTCCCTATCATAGAAAATTTTGAACAATACCAATATCTAAATCAAACGCCAGGAGTTTTTTTTTTTTTTTATTCTATATGAAATTATTGTTAGAATCGGTGAAATAAAATTTGAATTAAGCCAAATTTTTTTTACAATACCAATGGTTTTAATTATTCATTTTCTTATTATTTGTAACACATTTGGGATAGCCAATCATTTATAGGCAAGGCAATATCTGAAAAATGTTAGATCATGCATTTTATTCTTATTAAGTGTATAAAAGAGTTATCACAAGTATTTTATTCGTTGAGTTTATCGTCAAAAAAATGTTGAATTTTAGTTACACTATTTATTAAATTTTTTATGTATTTTATAATACTTTTTTAAGTGATATTTTTTTTGCGAGTAAGTATAATTAGCAACTTTGTAGCATCTTTAAAATCCCACAACTTTTATATTACATTATACCTAGTGAAATATGTCTGTAAAAAAGTAGTATTATATAGAATGCCAAATTTCTAAATTGACTAAATATTTATTAAATGGAAAAAATGGAAAATAGTCAAAAACAATAATTTAGAAAGGTAAAATGAATGGAAGTTGTAATATTATATAACATATTTTATATGCATTATGTAGAAAATCCATTAAAAAAGAGATCATAAATGAGTAAAAGTCATAATTGAAAAGGAAGTAAAAATCATAACTGAAAAGATAATAAGGAAAAGGTATTGATCTTATATTGAAGCTATCAAAAAAATAGCAAAAATACTATATAAGAGAGAATATTTGAAAAAGAAGATTCTATATATGTATTTGATAAATTATAAGATTACTTCAAATAAACAACATAAGTTAAAAGGTATTTTATTTGGTAGTTCAACTACTTGAATATATAAGTAAATAATGGATTATAAAAAATAATTAATAGTTTTTAGATGTTATTTTTTATTTTATTGAATAATACAAAAATTAATTTTTTATAAGTTAGATTTTACATATTATTTAAATTATATAAATATGAGTAACAAAGGTCTAAATAAAAAAGCCAACCTTAATATATCCATAAAAATAAGAGCAGTAAATCATAAGAAGAATAAAAATATTAGATAAATATAAAATATGTAGAAAATACTTCTATAACTTCTATAAATATTCAGAAAATGCTTTTTTGTTAAATATTAATGATTATTATAAATTTATATTTAAAGATAACCTAATCAATAAGTATACCTTAAGTTTATAGTTATTCTCTATATAATTATATTATATAACTTTATAAAAATTCTAAAAATTCTAATAATATTGATTTAATATTAATTTGATATTATGGTTATGATATGATTAATAATAATAAATCAAGATTAATGTGATATTGCAATAATAGATCTGCAAAAATATTAAATCTATATCATAATGATATATATTATCCTTTGAAATATATTTAGATAAACTATTTTTAAATTTTTAAAATGAGATATCTTAATTAATCAAATATTTTTTTTAAATGATAATTATAATTATATGTTTATATTTGTGAAATAATATATAGATCTGTTTTAATAATCAAAAATATAACTAACTTTGATTTTATATTTTTAATACTATGTATATTATGTTATTAAGTATGAAAAAAAATCAGGAATTAAATAAGTTTAAATAATTAGTTTACTAATAGCTGGAAAAATCTTATCTAATCTTAATCAAATTGAGCATTTGTAAAATAAACTTAAAAGAAAGTATTATATATTTGAAAAATCTTTAAAAACTTAAGAAAGTTTTACAAGAATAAAGAAAAATTTTTTCTGAAACTTTATTAAATTATATCATTTATTATATTAAGTTTGGATACTTTAAATCATAAGCTAATTTCATTAATGATAAGAATTTTACATTAATTTATTATTATTATTATATGGTTTTAATATCAATCTATATTATTTTGATGTAAAATTCTTATCTTTATAATATAACAAATAATATAAATTCTATATAAAATATATATTATTATGATAATAATTGATATTGAATCCTTATTATTACAATATAGATTGAATATATCATTATGATATTATATTAACTTTAATTCAATATTTGTTAACCATATTATAACTATGTTAATTTGATAATATTGAATTGATTTTGAATTATTATTATTAAAATATAAATATCAATATTAATTCAATATCAAATCCATATCAATATGATAAACATTTAATAATTTAAGAAATATATTACAAATTGTTTACTATAATTAATAAAATGTATCTTTTGTATACTATTAATTACATTAATTAAAAAAAATCTATTTTCAACTTTTTGTTTAAAGTTAATAAAAGAACATTTTAACAATAAATATTTCTTTTTAGTATTTTCAAATCATATATCACGATATGATAAATATAATTTAATATTTAACCTTTATAAAGTTAAATAAAATTTATCATAATCTTTTTTAAACATTTTTCTTTTTAAAAATATTAAAAATGGAATTTATTGAAAATGTAATTATTTTTAAAAAATTAAAAAATTATATTAAAAATATAATAATTTTAATTAATATAAAGAAATATCTTAATCTTAATATTTACATTATCATCTTGATTTCTTCTATTTTAGAAAATTTATTTTTAATAATATATCAATTTAAAAATAATCGCTTAAAATTTGATACTATATTTTTAAATCTAATATAAGATTTTATAAATTTTGAATTAATACTATCATCAATTAAATATCAAATTGCAAAATATATAGTATAACATTTTAATAAATCTAAATCTAAATTTTTACAATTTATTTTAATATATTTCTTTAAAAATACAATCTATTTTTTTAATATCACATTAAGTATTTATAAGAATATCATAAGTTTTGACATGTAATAAAAGATACATATTGATATATAAATTGGTAGATTAATAAAATTTACAAAAAGCTATTTTAATATTATAAAATAAAAGAGAAAAATATATTATTAATAATTAAAGATATAAATTTTAAAATATATCTTTAAAAGAATTTTTAATACTTTTTTAAGATATTTTTGAAATTTATTATATTTATTTAAAATAAATTTATTATTAAAACAATTTCATTATTTTAGCAATATATATCTAATAAAATATAATATATTTAATACTAAATCAATATGTATTTTAATTCTTTCTTAAATATTTTAGCTTTATTATATTTTATACTTAAATTATTTAAAAACTAATATAATATAAAAGGTATTATTAAAATTAATTAATTGAAAATAATTTGATATTATAAAATCATTATAATGACTAATTAGATGATAAATATAACCAACTATTTGGTTTTAAAAGTCTTTCAAATATTAATAAAATTTTATTTTCTTCTTTTGAGAATAATTAATAAATTAATTTAAGAAAACATCTAATTTTATCTACTATAATATAATAAATATCTTGTAGTATTTATAAGTAACCTTTTTTTAATTTAATTAAAATAATATATGATATTCTTAATCCATATTTTGTGCTAAGTTTCTAATATATTATGTTTATTTAATATCTTATTAAATTGCTTATTAGTAATATTTAGATATCTTGATAATTTTAAGTATCATCTGTAAGCATTCCTTTAGAATATTATAAGTTTTATAACTTTTATAGCATTATATCTTAATACATCAACTGTATTATTTCTTATAATAAATTAGAAGTTATAACACTTAAACTTACTATTATCTATACATTTTATTTATTTATTTTATTATTTTTTCTTATTATTTTTTTTTATTTTTAAAATAAATGATAATATAAATTTATTAAATTTATCATCAAATAGTACAAATCTAAGTATAAAATGATTTTTAATCGATTTTCTTTGATATGCAATCATATTTTCAAATTGTAATTAAACTCCTTCTAATGAATGATAATCATTTTAATAAGTGATAAAATTATTATAATAAAGATCTATAAATAATTTATAAATTAGTATTGTTATAGTAAATCTTTAATGCAAATATAATCTGAAGAATATGTATATAAAAATATTATATTACAAATTTGCTAACAATTCTGATATTTATAAACTATTTTAGTAATATATAATATTACTTTAAGAATATTTTGATATTAATATTCTATTATTATAGAAGCTATTTATATTATTATTATTATTTTAAATAATTTTTCTTGTATCTATATTTCATTATTAAAAAATTAATTATATCTAATTTTACTTTTAAAAATATTAGATAAATTCTTATATACCATATAGTTCCGAAAATAAGCACCTTTTTGCTATGGAGTGCTTATTTTCGGGTAATTTAAATCATAAAATTTGGCTTCTTTAGAAGTCTAAAATAAATGCTGATTTGTGTGATGTTGCGATAATCTGTGATGATCAGCATAATCATGATTATTACGTAAATGCGAAAATATGTAACAAAATGTGTGTAATATTTAGTCATACTTGCTTTTAGTCACCATACACAAATATAAACAATGCAACAAAAATGCAAGC